ACTGGCAGCTTAGCACTTAGTGACAAGGGCGCCGCCAAGCTGCTGGCAATCCTTGGCATCTCCTCTCTGCTTCCGGTACACCTTCCCCCGCCCTCACACGGCTCCCTCTTCCCTGGCGTGTGTCCCCTTCAACAAGGACCCGCTCTTACGAGGACCCACCCAACTGCAGTAGGATGATGGCTGAGAACAGAAGAAAACCCCTTTCCAAGCAAAACTGCCTTCACAGGGCCGGGCTCCGGTCAGCCACGCAGCTGTTCGGGGGACACTCTTGGCTCCGCAGCAGTAACCGCATGTCCCTTGCCCTGTGGTCAGCCAGCCTGTGCTGTGTGCTCCGTCTTCTCCACGGCCTCCCTGCCCACCCTCTGAGCAGCCCCAAGAGAGGGCTGTCAAGTGGACAGCGTCCAGTGTACCCCGCCATGCTGGGGGGGAGGGAGGTCCGGAAAAGCCTTTCTGTGTGTCTCTCTTAGTCTTGGTTGCATTCTAGGCTTTCTGAAATGCTTTGGAGGTAGGGAGGGACCCGTGTCTGTGAGAGGCCCCCCCAGAGGGCGGTGTAGACACTTAAGACCGTGGGAAGGTGACCACATGCTGCTGAACCACACCTTACATCAGCATTAGAGCCTGTGTGTGACCCTGGCCTGACCCTCAGCAAAGGCCACCCTTCCCTGAGCCACTGTGTCACCCGCAGCCCCCGGCAGCAGGCGGCTGAATTAGGAGCTGACCCAGCCGTCAAAACCTGCGTCACCAAGAATATCTCATGGCGTTGCTGACCCCTCCCCCCAACAAGACTGGGGCAGTAATTCCCAGATATCTCGGGTCGTGGGTGATGGTTACAGCTGGGGTCTCGGCCCAGAACCGGCCTTCAGATGGGGGCTGCTCCCCCCAGCCTGGCAGTGATGTCACGCCCACGGAGCCAGCAGCACCGCCCGCAGGAACTCGGAGCTCTGAGTCTGCGTTCACACCAGGGAGCCAGACGCCCTTGTCCCCATGCAGCCTGTCCTTTTCTTCCACACTGTCTTCTGTCCTCTCTGCCTCTCCCAGCTGCCTGTGGGACAGGGTGACAGTGTCTGCGTTTCTCCAGGAAGGAGATTCATCCGCCAGATTCCAGGGCTTTGGCATCGGCGGGCCACGTGATTACAGCCCGTCTGACAGCTTCAGGGTGAAAAGATCGGAGCCTACGCCCTGCGAGGCCCTCACGCTGCTCCTGAGTGTGTGGAGACGATGAAGGATGAGAGGCAAGACCAGAACCCTTGACTCCACCCTTAGGACCTGACTGCGACGGAGACCCCAGAGCACGGCCTGCCCCGTGAACCCTGCAGAAAGGCTCTGCTGAGCGCTTCGGGGCAAAGCCTGTAACTGCAGGTGCTTAACTACCGGGTGCAAGCTCAGGCCTGGAGAGTCGGCTGTTTGATACCCCTGTCTTCTGCTTCCGTGATGATGGTGGTCAGAGCTCACATCCCCCAGAAGCCACAAGGCTGGCCCAGCCCGAGGAGAGAGATCAGCTCTCAGTTCCCTCCTCTCAGCAGCGCTCGGCTCCTGTTGTTAGTGCACATAGGGAAGCCAACACGTGCCAGACATCTTTCCGGCGTGTGATAAAGCCAAGGCCAGGGTGTGGGGTGCGCGTGGGGGGCCACGTGCTTTGTCCACCCAGCCAGAGACTGGATACGTCTGTCTGCCCAGGGAGTGCAGGAAGCACTCGCCCACCCTGCACTCAAGTAATAGACTGTGCCAAGCAGGGACACTCCCCTCCCAGAGGAGAGACCCCCCCCTCACCAGGGTCCCCTGGAAAGCAGCAGGGGTGCTGGCGGGCAGCAGGTCTGAGCAGTCTTCCTCGCCCCTGCACCTGGGGATTAGCCTAGACTGAGGCTCCTGAGCAGATGCTCTTAGAAAGATTGGGGACAGCAGCTCTGCTCGCCTGTGGAGGTGAAATCAGCGTGGGTGTGATCCCCACGACCCTTCTTAGGACGAAAGAAGAATTAGCTCAGAGCTCAAGACGGGCATTGCTTCTCCTGCCTGGGACCTGCACTTTCAGAGGGGGGAGTACAGGCTTCCGTGACAGTGAAATTCCCCAGCCTTGAGCCATTTCCGTGGGCCAGGCTCTGCCCAGGCCCCTCTGTGCACTTTTCATCCTAGGGAGAAGGTGTCCCACCACCGCCATTTTAAAGGCACCAAGAGTTTGTAAATCCAGTCACCACAAGTTCACTCCAGCACCCTGTGTGAGGTGACCCTGTGTGTGTCTGCAGAGCTGGGCCCCACAGCGTTCCAGCGGCTTTCTTCTCCTGGGTGGACTCAGCAGCCTCCGTTCAGTGACCAGCACGTAGGTGTGCACCCACATGGCACTCCGTCCCTGTGTGAGCGTCCTCTCCTGTGGTAACAGTGTCACAGACTGAGAGGCCAGGAGTCCACAGTCAAGGTCTTGGCCGGGCCTGCCCTCCCTGAAGGTTCGCACAGAGGGTACTTCCTCGCTGTCTCTCCTGGATCTTCAGCCTGTCACTGCTCTGGCCTGTCTTCACCCACCCTTCTCCTCAGTGCGTCCAGTCTTAGAAGAACACCGGGCACACTGGGTCAGGGCGCAGCCCAGCCCAGAACGTCCCCATCTCAGCACTGGGAATTGAACCTGGTCCAAGGTGGGAGCTTGGAAGAAGTGGCTGCCCCACCTGGCACTTCCCAGACCACTGCCGACCTGCCAAGTGCTGTCCTGTCACACTTGGTCACCTGTTCCTGCTTTTGAGCCAGAAAGGTGCCTGGTCGTCAGGGATCCCAGCTCAGGCTGGCGTTGCCCCCTCAGCCTCTCACGCCCCATGCCTGTCTGGGAGGCCAGTGCGATGTCCACTCGTGCCCCGCCTGGCGCTCTAACACCCGAGCCGTGTGGGCCACTCCTCATCTATTATCATCACCTCTGGCGCGTTGATTCTCTGCTTGGAGAAGGGAGTGCGCCGTCCCGACAGCTGCCGTGATGAATGGGCCTCCACCATGCCCGCCTGCCCGAGCTGTACACTGAGGCCCCCTGGTCTGATAGGGCAGCCCCGGAACTGGGGCCTCGGGTGTCACCTGGGACCGTGTGCAGAGGTCAGAGTCAAGGGCCAGCTCCCTGTGGGGCAGTCCTGTCAGGTACATCACCACAGTGGGACTTCTGACTGCTGGTCGCCGACCAGACCTCAGGAGGGTTGGAGGAAGAACTAGGTGGTTCCCCTTGGCCTGCAGAGGCCTCCTTGGGTCAGGAATGGTGACTGTGTGGCATGTGGTCACCTGAGCAGACATGTGCCCCTCCTGTGTGTCTGCCTTCCCGCTGGCCTCAGCTGTCTGGGGCAGGACTTCCGGCCCACAGCTGCCAGGGTGCAGAGAAGCCCTTTCCGGCCATGCCTTCTTCAGATTGTCCGTGCACACCCTGAGGCCCAAGGCCCCGCTGCCCGGACTTAGGCCTGTCTGCCCTTCAGCTTTTGTGGAAGGCTTAGTGCAGTGTCCCTTTCTCCTGCCAACGTCTCCACGCCCCCGTGTCCATTAGGGCAGGTGGCAAGTCAAGAGAGGGGACCTGGGCTGAGGTCTGAGGCAGACCCCCAACAGGTCAGACAATTCAGACTTGCATATTCCCCCAGAGCACCTGGTCACTGAGATAGGGTTCTCTCCATCCATTCCACAACCAGCGCTTTGTTCACTGGTCATCTGTCCCGAGACGTCCTCCTGGACTGGAGGCTTCCGAAGGTCAGAGGCCAAGCGCCCTGCTGAGTGTCCGGCCCACAGGGACACTGGGGACATCATGGTTGAATGAGTGACAGGAGGATGAGTGGTCACAGCTGATCCTCGCAGGCTACCCGGGACAAGTGCCCTTCCTTCCTGTGGACTGTCACTTGAGATGTTCGCCAAGTCTCCTGACCCCTCGTCACCTTGCAGCTGAGCCTCGGAAGCCGACAGCCACTCCTCATGTGACGGGGTGCCAGGCCTCCCCTCCCTCCTCGCAGGCTTCTGCTCCTCTAGGCACTTCTCACCCTCTGGAGCGTGACTTCCGGTGCGGACGCGGTGCTGTGGCCTCTGAGCCTCCCCTGAGTGGGTCAGGGGAGGACTGAGCCCTGCCGGCTAGGGCAGCTCCCCCTCTGACAGCTGGTGAGGTCCTGGCCTTCTGGTCTCCACTGGCTGGGGAGCACCCACCTTGTCCCACCTCCATGTCCACTGTGGTCCCCACTGGCAGCGTGGTGGGCAGCCAGCCGTCAGCAAGGGGCCGCATCCTGGGCACAGGCCCATGTTTACACCCTGTGCCCTGTCATGCGTCCTCACTCTGTCACTCACGGCCTGTCATCCTCATTTCATACGATTGATTATCAGACCTAATGGGTTTTTGGAACAGCTGTCTCATGAGGACAGGTGATCAATCTAGGAGGTGGCTGTGACCGGCATTGCCAGAACCAGGAGAGGGGCAGGGCAGGCCTTCTCCTACCCCATGCCCACCCCAGAACCCCCCAGAGCCCCTGCAGTCAGGGTGGCACCAGCCCTCCTCTTCCCTCTCCCGCAGGTCTGGAGGTGCTGCTGCTGTTAATGCCACCAAGTCAACCACAACTCGTGGTGGCTGTGCAGACAGCTCCGAACTGTGCCCTGTCCTGCGCCGTTGCTACTTTGTATAAACTTGGTGGTTACCCAAAACTAGTTTGTATAAACTTGGAGATGACAACAGAACTGATGATCCCAGTGCTCCCGTGTGTGTGTGTGTGTGTGTGTGTGTGTGTGTGTTTGCAGAATGCAGAGACCCTCAAGGCATAGTCTCCCCACCGCCTCCTCCCCAAGTTACCTGGGCTCCCCTCCTGCCCCTCCCCCCAGGTGCCCTGGTTGACCACCCCACCCCTCACTGTTCTCCCAGGTGCCCTGGTTGACCCCCCCCCCGCACCTCGCTGTCCCCCCAGCCGTCCTGGATGACCCCCCCGCCTCTCGCTGTCCCCCCAGGCGTCCTGGATGACCCCCCGCCTCTCGCTGTCCCCCCAGGCATCCTGGCTGACCCCTCTCTGTCCTTGCAGCCTTTGCCATCATGATCGTGCTGGCCCTGATCCGCATCGGTCACGGGAAGGGCGAGGGCCACCCACCGCTGGCCGACCTGGCAGGGATCCGGAACCTGTTCGGTGTATGCGTCTACTCCTTCATGTGCCAGCACTCGCTGCCGTCCCTCCTCACCCCCGTGTCCTCCAAGCGCCACCTCACGCGGCTGGTCCTCCTGGACTACGTGCTGGTCCTGGCCTTCTATGGGCTGCTGTCCTTCACAGCCATCTTCTGCTTCCGCAGCGACCGCCTGCTGGACATGTACACCCTGACCTTCGCACACTGCGACGTGGTGAGCCAGGCCGCCGTGCGCCTCTTCCTGGGCCTCTTCCCGGTCTTCACCATCAGCACCAACTTCCCCATCATCGCCGTGACCCTGCGGAACAACTGGAAGACGCTCTTCCACCGCGAGGGGGGCACGTACCCCTGGGTGGTGGACCGCGTGGTCTTCCCCACCATCACGCTGCTGCCCCCCGTGCTGGTGGCCTTCTGCACGCACGACCTGGAGTCCCTGGTGGGCATCACGGGGGCCTATGCGGGCACCGGCATCCAGTACATCATCCCCGCCTTCCTGGTGTACCTGTGCCGTAAGCACGCCGAGCTGGACTTCGGCCCTGGCGCCGTCAACAAGCACAGATCCCCCTTCCGCCACACCTTCTGGGTGGGCTTCGTGCTGCTCTGGGCTTTCTCCTGCCTCCTCTTCGTCACAGCCAACATCATCCTCAGCGAGACCAAGCTCTGAGGACAGGACCACACTGACAATCCGTGGTGGCAGACGTGATGGCCGCCTCACCTGGCCTCCACCGCAGAGCCAAGAACCGACTCCCGCCTAGACCTTCGTGTGAACAGAGGAGGCGGGTGCGTGAAGGGGTCGGGGTCCGCCCCACACCGGGGTTTCACACCGCCTGCACCCCGTCTTACCTGCCGAGCAGTGTCCCCACAGATGGTCTGGGGCTGCGCCTGGGACTCGCCACTGGAATCGTCACCTCTGCTTCCCGCACATGCCCATCCCGCCCTTACAGAGGTGGGGGCATAGTGCTGACTCTGCTGCTCATTCACAAGGGACCCCACCTCTGCCATCTCAGCACCCCTCAAATCACTGTCTGGAGAGGAGGCTCCTCATGGGGCTGTTGTGAAGGGCAAGCTCAGCTCTTGGCCAGGCCTGGAACTTGCTAAGTCCTTCTCCTGGGGGCAGGCCTGGCTGCCAGTGACAAGCGCAGAAGTGCTAATTGGCACCGGGCTCCCCCGGCCAGAGTTGCCAGGAGGGCATCACTGTGGCACAGCTTTTGTCGGGGCTCCAAGCAGCCCTGGAGCTGGGATTCCCATGAGCTGTGCTCCCGCAAGGAGCCCTCGGGCCCTGTGGGCTTCTTCCTACCGTGTAGAGCGTCCTCCCGTCCATCCTGGGGCAGAGCTCCAGGTCCCCCACCCTGGCACCCAGTGAGGCATGACTCGCACAGGATGGGAGGCTGCCACAGGAGAGATCCTTCTAGTCCTCCAGACCCCCAGTGGGCATGTGACGACAAGAGGGTCCCAGGTCCCCACCTCGGGACATCATACCTTCAGGCAGCTCTCTGCTTGGCTTCCCCGCCCCTTCTCAGAAATGAAGGGGCTCCAAGAGAGTCAGCCATGGGTGCTGGGTGCCCCACTTGCCCCTGCAAGGAAGGCTGGGCCCCACCTCCCTGCCTGAGGCTACCCACCTCCTTCAGTCGTATATTAACTGCTTGGCCAGTGGCCATACACACAGGTGACTCCCAACTGACCGCATTTTCAATGTGCCTTCTCCTGCTTGAGGACCTGCGGCCCTTGCGGCCCCTGCTGCCCCAGCCTTGGGCCTGGCCCCTCTGGTCTGGAGCCTGCAGCTGCCTCTCAAGCGTGTCCCCACCGCCTTCCTTTAATTCCAGTGCCTTGCTCGGTCTTGTTAGGGAACTCGGCCTCACCCTGCAGCTCATTGTCAAAGCTACAGTCAAATGAATGGCCATGCCGTGGTCTCCTGGGCCACAGGGGGCTGAGGGCCTGGGGGAGGACAGGGACATATGCTTGCCTTAGAATGAAGCCTGCTGGGGGCCCGTAGGCAGCACCCCCTTCTCTGTTCCCTGCAGCCTGGGCCCTTGAGGCCCTGTGTGTGTGTCTTAACAGCCTGTCTTTGTTCTCATTGTCACTGCACCCTTGGCTCGGGCCCGTGTGTAGTTCCCGTCCACGTGAAAACAAGCACCCCTTTCCTGTCTGCTGGAAGGGCCCCAGCAGCATGTGTAGAGTGCTGGGTTGCTAAACCACAGGTCAGCGGTTTGAATCTAGCAGGTACTCCACAGAAGAGAGGTCAGCGTCTCCTGGCAAGAGTTCCAGGCTTGGGAAGCCAGTGGAAGGGCCCTCTGACTCGGGATGGACTTGACAGCACTGGGGGTTCCCATAGTGGCTGCGGGAGGCCCTACCTCCAGGGGGGTGGACCAGGGGGCTACAAGGTGGCAGCACCAAAGATCCTAAAACTGAGCCCAACCCTCCCAAGTCCAGGCCCGCCCTGGAGCCGCCCAACTTGTGCAGAAAACGCAATTAAAACAGCTATACTTACTTTCTCCAATTACATTCCCCCTTGCTTAAGGACAAAGCAAATTAAATCATCCTGCTGCCCCAGGCGCTAAACCAAATCTTGGAAGCAAATGTATTAGCATCATAAAGCCCAGGTTGATTTATGTGACAATCTGGAGCCAAACAGCAGTGGAGTCAGCTGCCACTTGCCTGCCACCCCAGCTGGGGCAGCCCCAGGCCTGGAGGGAGCAGGTCCAGGAACCACGCCGCTGATGCCCAGCCGACCTTCACCAGGGCCAGCATCTGTGGGTGTCTGGGCTCCTCTGTGCTGTCTGTCCCGATGCAGGTCAGACAGGGACACCTTCCTCTCCACCCTAGGCCTCCATCACCAGCAGCCAGAGGGCTGTGAGGCAGGAGAGGACCCCAACATCTAGAAGTCTCCCAGGCAAGGCTGGCTTGCTGTGTGTGTCTGGTACATTGGGTGTGAGGTGGGCAGCATGGGGCCTGACTTCCATTTTACACATGGACCCAGAGTAACCGTGGGCCGTGGCAGGGACAGAAGAGGACAGCCCAGCCTGACCCAAGTCAGAGAACACTTTGAAAACCTTCATCCCCGCAGTCCTGGTCACATCACTGAACCCTGCTCTCCCCAGTGACAGGGCAGATGATGGGGGGGAGCAACACTGCAGCTCACTCCCCTGCTAAACATCAGGCCCAACCAAGCCCCAAAGCCCAGGCAGCAGCTCCTGTCTGGTCCCTCACCTGAGGCTCTTAGATGAGGCAGGGAGGCGCTCCAAGTGCTAGAGGTGGGCAGCTGGCATCTCATCAGACCCCTGACAGACCACACAGCTGTTCTCACACCTAGGCCCGGAAGGGCCTCAGCCACCGGCAGAGGCTGGTGATGTGAGAGGAGGGCAGATTTCTGTCCTCCACCTCAGGGCCTGATGGCGGAACAGGAGATCCAGGCAGTACCCCACCCAGGACCCTGAGACCATGAGAAGCCACCACATCCCTGCCCCTAGTCACGCCAATGCCCACTGAGAAGGTGGTCTCTGAGACCAGGGAGCGGAGCGGAGCCTGCTGCTGCTGGCTTTGTGGTCCCTTCTGAGGCTGATGGGATGGGTGACAGCTGGGAAAAGAGGGAAGGACCATGGATGGGGCCTCTATGTGCGTGACCCCGGCATGCTCTGCTCCTCCCTCCCTGTGAAGGGGGCGGCCACCCGTGCCCCAGGCCAGGTGGACAGAAGTGCCCAGTAAAGCTGTTATTGGTCTCCATTGTCACTTGCATGCTCCTGCCATTACTTAAGAACTTAAGACTCCTAGTGTCCACCCGAGACACCTAATGGGTGTCACCTTGCAGTAATCACCTGCTCCATTTCAGCGTCAAGAAGGGGGCCTGAGGCTGGGGGTCCAGAGGGCTCAGGGCAGAGTTCTTAAGGACAGGACTCCCCTTTCAAAGAGTCAGATGGGCCAGGCTGGAGCCCAGAGACCTTCACTGAGGACATCACACTGGCCGGGGGTCCACACACCTGCCACCCTGGGGGGAGATGTTGTGGACCAGGTGCTTGTTGCACAGCTGAAAATGAAGCCGTGGTGACAGCAGGTGGATGAAGTTGAATTTCCTACTAGATAGACTGAGGCCCTGTACCTCTGTCTGCCCAGAGAAGACGGCGTGGGCATCCTGTCTGGGCGGGTCCCACGCACTCTGCTCGGTCATGCCCTGTCTCAATGATTTAAGTCCGCAGTCTCCTTTCCTTGCGGCTGGCGTGCTCTGCCAGGCTTTCCAGACTCCCTGTGGAGAGGCAGGGGCCTGGCCCAGGAAGGGGAGGCCAGCAGGAGTCCCTCCCTGCCCTAGCCAGGCTCACTGTTCCCCAGAAGCCATTCCTAGAGCAGGGGTAAGGCAGCCAAGTGCCTGGCCCCAGGAGCAGGTCAGGCCCTCCTTGGAACCAGCCAGCAGCCGGCTCGGCTCCACATTTGGCTTTTAATTCTCTTTCCAGTTCTTGGTTATTAATGATCACGGGCTGTGACTGAGAGCAGTGGGGCCTTGAGGGCTCCTCCCAGCCTCACCTGCTGCCGTGGCCTTCCACCAGAGCTGCAGACAGCCCACGGTCCAGGGCTTGGGAGAAGGAGAGAGGCAGCAGTTTAACCCCCTTCCTGCCCCTTTCCTGGGCACTGGCCTTCAGCACTCACCCACACTCCCACTGCTTCACCTGTTGTGGAGCCCCACCCAGCCCAGGACCATATCGGCACAGAAAGCCCACAGGGCAGAGCATGGAGATGATGTGGACAGAGTCCAGGGGTGATGTGGACAGAGTCCAGGGACCCCCAGTGAGACAGTGATTTAAACGCTCAGCTCGTAAGGAAGAGACGTGTGTAACTTTTCCTGCCTGGGAAGCAGCACAGGGCATTGCCACTGTCAGAGGGGTGCTGTGTGAGTCTGGACTGACTCGATGGCACCAAACAACAGCTGGAGTCCACCCATCCTTCAGGCAACCAGGCCTGAATCTGAAGGATTTCGTGTATTGGAAATGCCACCTATCCATCTGCGTTACGCCAAGCTGCCATGTGCCCAACACTACCAGCCGTGTCTGTAGACTGAAAAGGGACCACAGCTTCCTGGAAGCAGCAAGGTGCCTGAGGAAAGAACCTCAGACAGGGACTCACGAAGTGTTTGCATCTCAGCACCCTTCTCAGGGCTCCCTGCAACAGAATTCACCCTGCGCTGCCTCTGTCCCCCTCCGCACTCAGGACAGCGAGGTCTGAGCCTCACCCCAGCAATCAGGAAAGGTTCCCACTTTGTGAATGGGTGGAAGAGGGGATGCTTGCTCGTTTCACAAAGTTGGGGAGGGGGGCTTAAACGCAATTGCAGTGTAGAAACACTGAAACAACCAAGAGCCCTAAAAAGACGATCCAGAGCCCTTGAGGGGTGACAGAGAAGGCAAGGGCGGTAGCCCCAGAAGGGAAGGAGGATGTCAGGAGGGCGTCTCCCCCCTCCACTGCCGCCAGAACCCCAGATCCAGGAGGTAGAACTGTGAGCACCCTGAGGCCACCAGGGCCAACACCCAGAGACCTGGCTGTCAGCAGTGAGCCAAGCACTACAGCCACAGAGAAGGCACTGAGGGTTCGGCAAGTCCCCAGCACATCAGACCTCCTCTCCCCACACCCTGACCCTGGCAGAGCCTCCCAGGTGGCCCCAGGCAGGACAGGACACCCATAGCCCCTGGCAGGAGCCTCTCCATTCAAGAAGACTGAGGCTGGACTCCATCCATCATCACCAGAGCCCCATGCTGAACACATTTGTCACTTCAGGCACCAGGGTGGGCGGGCGCTGGGCTGAATACCAAGTGCCTCCTGCTGCCTCCACGGCCCTCATTCAGCCTCACCTGCTCCCTGAACCCCTCCCAGACACTCTGGAGACAAAATCTTCCCAGAGGGAGCGCTCACCGGCTCCCATGATGCTTGGTTGCCTCCAGGGTGCAGTGCGCCTCCTCCAGGGAAGCAGAATGAGGAAGCTGGAGCCCATGCTTTGTCAAAGTTGTGTTTAATGCCCCTATCCTGTGGGACGAGTCCAGCCCAGCAGAGGATACAGCCAAACAGCTTTGCCCAGTCCGAGTTCTAGCCCAGACTCTATACCAGCAGCCTTGCCAGGCACAACACACAGGGCAGGGCAAGCCTGGCGGGTCTGACACCCCTGTTCGCTGGGACTCCAGGCTGGGTATGGGGGCTCTGTGCCAAGAGGGGCAGCCATGGCCCAGTCCGTGCCAAAACTGAGGCCACTGAACTGACCTGGAACACACTGTCACCAGTGCCTCAGAGCCCAGATTCCTGTGTCACCAGGAACCCAGCACCCAGGAGTCCAGGCCGAGACTCCCTGCCCCCAGCCCTGGCAGTGCCAGGCAGAGTCCAGCTGTGGGGAGTCAGAGCGGATGTCCATCGAACCGCCACTTCACACTTCTGACTCCAGGCTGGAGAACCGTCTCCAGGTGCAAGGCCCAGGGAAGCTGTGTGTTCCACAGGCCACCCTGCTGACCTCATCCAGTCCCGCACTGTCCCTGTAGCCTGTGCTCAGCCCCAGGGTCCTGCCCCCGTGCCTGTGTGGCCCCCAGGCCCCAGGAAGCCAGGGGGGGCCGTGGCTGGCACATGGTGGGAGGTGAGTGCAGACTGCGCCCCAGCACAGGGGCAGGTGGGCGTGGGCGTGGAGGCAGGCGTGCTGTCCGTGTGGCCAGGTGGGGGTCCCTGCCAGCACGCTTCCCTGGCAGACCTCTGGGTAGGACGGCAGACGCAGGGACGATGCGGGGCGCCTCCAGGCCGGGCGGGCGTGACACCCGCTGCAGGTGGGCCCTGCACACGTGGCCGGCAGCGAGCTGGACCGAGCGAAGGCGGCGGCCACGGAGCTGGGCAGGGAGGCATGGCGCGGGCGCGAACCGCGAGCCCAGGCCTCGCGCAGCAGGGCCTCCCGCCGGGCCAGCTGCTCCGGCCCGAGCAGCGGCAGGTCCTCGGGCTCCGGGGGCTCCGGGAAGAGCGGCAGGAAGGGGCGCCCCACGCGGTCGGCTCGCGGGAAGGAGCTGTGGGGACAGCGCGCCGGGAACCGGGGGCGCTCAGGCAGCGCGCGCCGCTCGGAGGCGGAGAGGTAGCGGCCGCTGCGCGCAGAACGCGCGGGCCCCCGGGTGTCCCAGGCCAGCCGTCGGGGCGCGCGGGGGTCATCAGGCAGCGGCGGCGGCGCGGGCGTCAAGGGGCGGCCCGGGGTCTGAGGGGTCCGGCGCACCAGCCCTGAGCAGCCCCCGACGGACGGCCCCCAGGCCTTGGGGCTGGCCTCGCAGGGTGCGCAGGGGCTGGGCGGGCGCGCGGCGGGTGTTGGGGGCGCGCGGCGGCCCGCCCAGTGCTCGAGGGTGCGCGTGGCACGGTCCAGGGAGCTGCCCACGCCCGCTGTGGTCACCATGTCGCGCGCCGCCTGCAGCATCTTGAGCACGCTGGCCTGGGCCGAGCTGGCCGTGAGGTCCGGGCTGGGCGGCCGCACGGGGCTCGCCAGGCTCTGCACGCCGCTGAAGCAGCTGTAGATGCCCTGGGCACGGGGAGGACAGGGCGCGCTTGAGAGGGACCCTCTCTATCCCGTCCACCTCCCCGGCCCAGACACTAGCTGACTGTCCTGTCCTCGGACGCAATGAACAAGTGGTGGTGGACACACGGGTGTCTCTGGGTGCCAGGCGCTGTGCCCTGAGCATTCCCCTCCAGGAAGGCAGGTGAGTCTCTGAAATCACCCAGCTGGTAAAAGGCGGAGAGGACTCGAACCCCGGACACCTGAACCCAAGGCCTCACCTCCGCCCGACTCGGCTGTCCCAGCTGGTGACGCCCCTGCGACCGGGGGCTGGACGCCACTCACCCTGCTGAAGGCCAGCAGGAAGTCCAGCCGGGACGTGTGGGGCACCGAGTGGCGCAGCTTCCAGTAGACCAAGTGCTCCCAGGCGAAGACCAGCAGGGCCAGCCCCATGGCCACAAGCAGCATGTAGAAGACGCCGGCCATGTTGTCGATGTCCAGCTTACTGCTCATCACCTCGTTCTTCTCGTTCTGGCAGATCCCGGAGAGCCACACCGTCTCCAGCTTCTGTGTCTCCCCTGGAGCGGAGCAGGCTGGGCTCAGGAACCCCAGGGAGGGATCCCCCTGGAGGAGTCTGGGGTCAGGTACAATCCCCTTGTCCCTCGGGCAGAATCACACAGAGATACAACCCTGGGGGGCAGCGAGGTGGCCCTGAGCAGGAAAAGAGCAGCTGAGAGGGCCCAGGAGGGTGGGCATTGCCAACTCAGCCCTCCCCCAGCTCAGGGCCCTCCCCCAGCTCGGGCCCTGCCCCAGTTCAGCCCTCCCCCAGCTCGGGCCTCCCCCAGCTCGGGCCTCCCCCAGCTTGGGCTTCCCCCCAGCTCAGCCCTCCCCCAGCTCAGCCCTCCCCCAGCTTGGGCCTCCCCCAGCTCGGGCCTCCCCCAGCTTGGGCCTCCCCCCAGCTCAGCCCTCCCCCAGCTCAGCCCTCCCCCAGCTCAGCCCTCCCCCAGCTCGGAGCCTCCCCCCAGCCCAGCCCTATGTGCTTGTGAATCTGCTAAGTTTTCCCTGATGCGCCCATTCATGCACCAAACACTACTGATCGGCCAGCTTGGCACAGAGCCGAGGATCCAGAGCTGAAGGGCCACGAGGAGATCCTGATATCAGGCGTAACACTGGCTTCTTATCTCCCTCCCTGTCGGTGGTGCTGGTGGGCAGTCGACCAGCTGCAATCAAGACTGCACAACTACACACCAAGCTCGCAGGAGGACCCACACCGGTACCGAGCCAGCCCAGCCCCTGCTGTGGGGACTAGACAAGTCTGGGACACACTACCCGAGATAATCTCAAGGTAGAAAGCAGTGGCAGGGAGGTGAGGAACAGACTGGGCCATAGAAGGGCTCCTTCCGACAAGATCAGGAGGGGACTTGGGAGGGGGGCTCAGCCACCCCTACCCTACCCTACCGTGTGGCCTGAATGCCTCCCCTCTTCTTACCCTCAGATTCTCCCCACTTTATTTCCTGCTTCTTTCCTGTATCCGTGACAGCCCACCTGACCCCAGTCTCCATCTAGTTACTCCCAGTGCTACCTCCCATCCCACTACACAGGTTCTCACCTCCAGAGACCACACCCTGCCCACCAGACCCTGGGGACACAGAGAGCTGTGGTGTGGTGCTGTCCCCCCGACCCAGGCCCACTGCAGCCCCCCTCCCGTGGCAGCACCCACCGTCCCCCAGGAATTGCAGGAGCGCCAGGTCAATGGGCCGTTTCCAGTGGGAGTCCTTCTGCATGGCGATGCCATAGCCAGTGGTGGCAAAGACCTTGCCAGAGCCAATGGTGACCAGCTTGCAGCCCTCGTCTTTGCCCGCCATGTAGTTGAGGACAGCAGCATCATAGATGAAGGCATCCAGCTTCCTGGGGACAGGCCCAGCCCTCAGATGGGGGACACTGACCTGGGGTCTGAAGGGCTCTGGGTCACGTGAGCTGGCTGCGCACTAGCTTGTTTGGGTCCTGGATGCTGAGATGGCCCCTCTCACAGCCCTGAGACCCCACCCCTTCCTCCTCAGAAGGGCCAGATTTGCTGCCCCAGAGGACACACACTTGCGGTGCCCACTTCCTTCCTAGAGCCATGAAGGTGACGACCATCCCCTCAGGCTAAGGCTGGGCCATATAAAAGTCTACTCCCCCCAGCCAAGCATCCCACAGCCTCCCCACCACCCCCACCTTGGGTCTCAGGAAAGGACAGGGCTGAGGCTGGGGGAGGGGGGCTGTCACATGCATGGGGAGGGTCAGGTAGCAGGTGGAGGGCTATGGGGCCTGGGGACCCACCCCATCTTGAGGCTGGTGAGCGCGTCCTCCACCGAGCGCTGGTTGAACTTGACCATGTGGGTGTGCATGTCTCGGTAGTTGCTGCGAATGTTGCGCTCAGTGCTGCCATTGGGCACCGTGCCAAAGCGGAAGGGCGGGTACTGGTCGTGAGGACGTTGGAACTGTGGGCAGGGACCAGCGGCCACTCACCACCCTGCTGCACACACCCCAGGCACCCCAGGGCCCGGTGTCTGCTGTGGTCATGCCTGATGAGCCTAGACACTGTCCAGGGCCCAGCTGAGGGTCAAAGAAACAGGCCCAGGACAGAGAGGAACGTGCCCAAGATCACAAGTCCATGGGCCTTAACCATCTCTCCTCCTGCTGCCTCCCCAGTGTCCTTCCCACTGGGGCCCCCCAGCTTCCTGCTCCAGGCCCAGCTGACCTGGGCCCACCCACCCGAACTCTGCCCCGCCCTCTCTGTTCGGCTGCCCTCCCCCAGCCGTGGCCCAGAACCTTCTTGTCACTGAGGCCTGACACGGTATCGATGTACTGCTCCTGGATCATGAAGGCCGCCAGGTTAGCGGTGTAGCTAGCGAGGAAGATGACGGCGAAGAAGGCCCAGACCAGCACCATGATCTTGCTGGTGGTGCCCCGCGGGTTCTCGATGGGCACGGAGTTGTTGAAGACCAGTGCCCACAGCAGCCACACGGACTTGCCGATGGTGAAGGATGGGCCGCCGGACTCTGGGGGTGAGTGGGGGCTCAGCTCCAGCTCCCTCGGCCAATCTGAGGCCTCAGGACTCAGCCTGCCCATCCCCGTGGCTCCTGTCTAGCTCTGTCCCAGGTGGGACCTGCACCTCCATTCTACCAACAAGCCAGCTCCCTGTTTGATTCCCCCTTGGTCCCCACCTCATCACTCTGTCTGTCTGTCTCTCTCAAACCTAATTGGCCCCTGCATACTGTCCGAGCCCACAGCATCCTGCTTTCTCTGGAGGGCCCCAGGGGGGCCCCTGCCTAGCCCTCTGAGCGCCTCAGCCAGCCTCCCTCCTCCAGGCTCGGTGCAGCTTACTCTTCCCACTGGTGAGGTTCTGGTTGTAGCTGACGGGGCTGAAGTACTCGAACATGAAGACGGTGATGGCCACCACGGTGAGGCACATGACGAACATCATCACCCACACGGCGGGGCTGTAGGGTTCTGGCACGGAGGGAGGGCAGTTCAGGGACCCCAGCTCGCCCACCCCGGGCTCAAAGGCCCCCGGGTGCAGATAGGGCTGTAGGGCTCTGGCACGGAGGGAGGGCAGTTCAGGGACCCCAGCTCGCCCACCCCGGGCTCAAAGGCCCCCGGGTGCAGATAGGGCTGTAGGGCTCTGGCACGGAGGGAGGGCAGTTCAGGGACCCCAGCTCGCCCACCCCGCCTCAGAAGCACCGGGTGCAGATGGCAATGTTCCCAAGGTCTGAGCAGGGACCCATCAGCTCTGTGGACTGGCTGAGGGCGTCCCTGAAGGGCGGCCAGGACCTCCAGCCCTCTGGGCTCCCCCATCCTCTGTCTGTCCATGGGGCCTTACCCAGAAAGGCCGAGGGGGACACGGTGCCATTGCTGCGTGCCACCATGACGCTGATGCCTGTCTCCACGAAGGGCACAGAGAAGTCCACGATCTCCGAGCGCTCCTCGTTGATGGTGAGGGAGCCGATGGCCATGTCTGCCCGCTTGTAGTACACCTGGGGGAATGGGCAGTGGGCCAGGGCCACCAGCCCCAGGGCCCCTCCCAGACAGCTGTTCCCATTAGGGTCTTCAGAGCTCAACGGCCAGAACTAACCACCTCAGAGATCCCCCCAGGACCACTCTAGAGGTCAGCACTGGTAGCAATGTGTCCCCCCAGGACCATCCCAGAGGTCTGCATGGGTGACAGTGGGTCCCCCCAGGACTAACCAGAGGTCAGCATGGGTGCAATGGGTTCCCCCAGAGGTCACCACAGGTAACAGTGGGTCCCCCCAGGACCACCCAGAGGTCAGCACGGGTGCAGTGGGTCCCCCCAGGACCACCCAGAGGTCACCACAGGTAACAGTGGGTCCCCCCAGGACCACCCAGAGGTCAGCACGGGTGCAGTGGGTTCCCCCAGAGGTCAGCACAGGTGCAGTGGGT